AATTATATTTGTTTTTTTTAAAAAAATATGACCTTCGCTACATAAGAGTTCTCATCTTTTCAAAAATATTTGTTGAAAACCTCAATATAATTATTAAAATTATATTGAGTTTATCAAGTCCTGTTTCGCTGAAAATTTCAGAATAACCTTACGCATCTTTTATAAGCATGTTCATTCGCAAAATTATTTATGGAAACGGTTGAGGCATTTTGGTAAGGGGCCTCATAGATCATTTTTATCCACATATCAGTCACCTTATAAAATTCTCTAGACACTTAACGACATATTATGGTGCCAAAAGCTATCTTTTACTGTGACTGACCAGACGATGTGCGCATATCAATGCCATGATTCGCTTTGAAATGGATACCCCCACGCTACCTCGGCTTAACCTCTTTCCGAAGATGACTGATATGTGGATAAAAATTATCTATTGAGACCCTAACCAAAATGGTCGCCCCAGCCGTTTCCATAGTAATTACCTTTTTATGAATGAACATGCTTATAAAGATGTGTAAATTTCACGATTGGTTATTCCATTTTTTTTGCTTGAGGAACGAAACAGGGCTTGATACTTTAACCCAATTTAATTTTTTTAATAATTATACTGAGGTTTTTCTTTTCTTTTTTTTTGAAACATGAGAACTTTTTTATGTAGCGAAGGAATCATTTTTTTTAAAAAATAATTATAATATATATATATATATATATATATATATATATATATATATATATATATAATGAAATAAATTTTTTCGTTTATGATATACCTGTCTACTTGCTTAATATCGCAGAATTATATTTCCTGAATACTGGGTGCAATTCCTCGAAAATCAGTGTATTGAGATATGATATAATTTAAGTGAACAATTTCATTTTACTTTACTAATTTATTTTATTATATTTTAATTTAATTTAATTTATTATAACTAATTTACTATCTCTTGGCATCGAGCACTATATTTGTAAAGACTCTTTGTGTTCAGAAGTGTTTCTTTCAGAATTACTCTTGTCCACCACTTTTGTCGAAATAGCATCACCTTACGTATATATATATATATATATATATATATATATATATATATATATAGGGAAAGAGAGAGAAATATACAGATAGATAGATTGATATATGTGTGTGTATGTGTTTATGCAATGTGTACACAGAAATCTACACCGAATGGCGACAGTATGTTCATGATGAAGCTATTTAAAGAATATGGCTCCAGTTCTGAAGTTAATATTTTGTCTTTGCCCTATCTTTCGGTATTGAACAAAACTACATTTATTCTGTGTTCAATTTCTTTCTTTCTTTTTTTTTTTTTTTTTTTTTTTTTTTGATGTTACGGTTTTGTAGCAATTGGCGGTATTGGGCGAAACAACCTCGAGTGTAGTCTATTCTTGCTCAATTTCATTTCTTCATATACTAAATTTCTTATTACTCGTCCATACACCGTGGCATTTGAAGTGTCTAAAGAATTTTTTTTTTAATTCTACATCCTGATTTCCTTTATGGCAGAAAAAAGGTATTTACCATCACTACTCTCACTCAGAGAAGGCACAGTGGAGTAATGGATAGCGGCTCGGATTGAGAAATCGGAGAGCCGAGTTCGAATTTCAGTCGAATCCATTACATTCACTTACGTGTTAATAGGTGTGAATCGTCTTCTTCTCCCGCTAGCTATGGGTAATTTGCTTGGTTCTGTAGCTTTGGATGGCAACTGGTCTACCGCAGACAGAAACGGCAACCTGCCTCTTCAGTCATGTATTGAAAGATATGATCGCTTACGCGTGTATCATGCATGGCATATGACTGACTCTCAATTCATTAACTGATTGATTCGTTTTTACGGTTTATCAACCCTTTATAGGTTATTTAATGCCACAACATATTTTTAAATTGTAAGAGTTTTTTTTACATATTTATAATTTAGTGATACAAGTAATTATTAATTAACCCATAGCTGGAGGAGAAAAGGCGGATTCATACCTTTTCCAAGAGTATTTGTGCTTAATTGAACAAAAAGAACCCAACCGGAATTGAAACTCGGCTTTCCGATTAACAATACAATTCCAGATCATAGTCTCTGTTTTAAATAGCTTTTTTTTTTCACAACTGAGTAACCTCATGACAGAATTTCTGTTCATGAGTACGAAAGTGCCTTTTTCATTGGGTTCCAAGGCCGCGCAACCGATTTCTTGAGACATTGTAAATGGTTGGATACTTTCCGGACAGATCACTTATTTTTGTCTAGTCGTCTTCTTTTTACTGTTATTATTATTATTATTATTATTATTATTATTTCTTTTGATTTCTATTTGAATCCAATTACAACAGCATTTTGACAGAACATAAAAAAGCTATCATTGGCTAACTTGAACATATCTTTCACGCACGGCGAACAGTAATTGAAATATGTTCAATAGGAAAGTTTATGATCGGCAAAAAACGTTAAATGATTATTTTATGGTATCAACGCGGCTTTATTGGTTTTAAAATATC